AATGCAACTCATTGTGTTTCCAAGTCTCTTGGGAATAAGGATTCCTACTGCTGTCTGCATGGTACCAGGCCTTCCGTGCAGAAAGCGACATCGAACATGACTTGGCTCCCCCGGTCCAGAATCTCCAGAAGCTTCGTGCACCTTTCCACAGCCCCGATGCCTGTGAAGCTCACAGGCCATGCCAACCCCACCTGCTGATGTCTCCTAAGGGACACCCCCACCCCTGAGCTCCTGGAGCTCAGGCCTGGGGTTTACAGGAGCCCACAGTGGCCACAGTGCTGCCCTTGTGGGAATGTTGGACACCACCTGCCCCTGAGTGTGAGAACAGGAGAGCACAGGGGAAGCCCAGGGGAGGGAGGCCAGGTGATCTGGTCCCCATGGCCACTCCAGAGGGGGATGCCCTGGCCAGCATGAGCCCTGGGCCTGCTCTGTCCAGCTGCCCTGCCCTCCTCACTGGCACATGGAGCCTGGAGCCCCCGACTGGGCAGACGCACAGGAGGGGAGGGTGCTGGGCGCTGCAGGCTCCAGGGCTCTGGGCAGTCCTGCCACCTGTCACTCAGCCTGGTGAGGCAGGGCCAGTGGGAAACCCCAGATCCTCAGGACCCGCCTGCTGGCCTTTGGAGCAGGGGAGAGGTGAGACTGGGGGTCTGGGTACCACCCACAGGCTGACCCCTCGTTCCATGCCAACACCTCCTCTGGCCGCCCTTGAGGCTCCACCCCCACCGAACTTCGGGGCCCCTGCTGCTGCTGTGCTCCCCCAGGCCTGAATGCTATAGCCTCTCAGTGCTGCCCCATTCTAGCCCTTGAGATGGGTCACCTCGTAGTGGGGTGCAGGTTGGGGCCCCAAGGAAGGGAATTTAGGGGAAAGACTGTGGGTATAAGGCTTTGAGAGAGGTGGGTCTGTCCCTGCTCGAGGCTGCATTGCGGAAGGTGGGCACACAGGCGAGGCCCAGAGGCGCATGGCCTTCCTCTGGGGCTGGCTTCCCACCAGGCCCATCCAAATTCAGCCCACAGGAAGGGGAGGTGCCAAGAGGTCTAGCACAGGTGGCCGCAGGCTGGTGGGTGCCAAGGAGGCCGATAGGAGGCTGGGACAGCCAGAGCCAGGGATGGATAGTGGCCTATGAGCTGGGCAGCTTCGGGTACCTCTGCACCCTACACATCTCCTGCCTTTTGGACAGCAGAGGCAGTAAGGCAGGGAGAAGGCCCTGAGGCCCTGGGAGGCTGGGCTGGGGCTGCAGGAAGGGGTAGCGGCCTCTGCTGTTTTGGAGGCATGGGAACTGGTTTCCTGGTCCTGAAGTGCGGGATGCTGGCCTCATGCCCCTCTGGCCAGGACCCTGCGCTGAGTGCTGAGTGCCTGGGGTAGTGTTCAGACAACTCGTGGTCTCTGTTGGCACTATCTGGAGACAGCGAAAACAGCACGGGCACGTGTAGGGGGATGCTAGGTAAAATTCATGAAAAGGGAACTTTCCAAAGGGGCCCATGGAGCCCTCCCAGGTTTGCCAGGCCAACTCACAGCTCCAGGTGCGTATCCCAGCATCTCACGGCCACAGACCAGCAGGCCACAGCCATGGCCCCAGCAACGGCACCACCTGCCTCTCACTTTGGCTGAGACTCGTGTCTCAGGGCTGCTCCCTGCATGTCTTGGCAGCAGGACAGCTGGGAAAGAGGCCACACTCTCCTCCAGGGAGCCCGGCTCTGCAGGAGCTACGCCAGCCACGCACATATCAGCTGCCTGACCACTCGGGACACGGAAAGCCATAAGCTGGGTGAAAGGCCTCTCCTACTCTCTCCTCCCCTGGAGACCAGGCCCCTGGAGGTGTTCTCCGGAAATCTGGGCAATGACCCTCTGGACCCCTGGGTTTTGGGTTCCCCTGGAAGGGGAGGCAAAGGGCCACACACCTGCAGCAGGTGGGGGGGATGTGTGGCACAGCAGCTTGGTGCTTGCGTGGCGCACAGATGCCGTGGGAATGGGGAGTGGCTGCCTCGGACCCTGCTGTGTGGCTTGTCGCCCTCTGTGGCATCTCTGTGCCTCCCTGTTTGGCTCCGGCTGCACGGCACACAGGGCGATGTTAGCACGAGGGGGCAAAGCAGCCTCCCACCCAAAAGGAGGAGGAAGAAGCTTGAGGCAGGTGCGTGCTTCTGGGCCTGGCACTCCGCACTGTGGGGATGGGTGGAAGGAGTTGGTTTGCAGGTTCCAGAATGAATGGGACTGTGCCGTGGCAGGAGGAGGGCAGCATGGGTTGAAGAAACACCCCAGGCTGTGTAACAGCTACACCACCAAATGCCTGCTCCCCTGGTAACATCTGCCCAAGTGGACTGGAGAAGATGCCCACGTCAGCCCCTGGGCTGTAAGTTGGACCAACATCTGCCCGAGACTGGACTCTGGGAGGGGCCAGCCACTGTCCCTCCTGCCTTAGCTGCTCTCAGCTCCCTACAGTCCCCTTGGGTGCCCTCAGGACACATGCTTCCAGAACAGGCTCTTCTATAAAAAGGGGGTGGGCTCCAGGGCCCAGAGTCACAGCATGGACTAGGAGGCTTCGGGTCACTCTGCACACACCTCAGGATGAAAGTCCTGGTCAGAAAATGCATGAGCCTTCCTCACGGACCCACCTGCTCCTGCGGCAGGCCTGGTCTCTCCCCATTCCCCATCCCACGTGCCTCCCTGACTCTGTCCACGTGATGTTGGGGCAGAGAGCATTCTCTGAGCTCACAGTCAGAGGCCACAGGCCACTGGCCCCTTGGCCAAGCTGCAGTCCTTGACTTTGGGCCACTCAAAGAGCAAGTGGCAGAGATGAGTGACCTGTGGCCACTCTGGCTGGCAGTGTAATGGCTTGCCTGGGTCCTGGGGCTTTGCTGGGAGAGTGCCTGACCTGTGTTCCCACCCCTGAAAACGGGCTCCACTATGGACAGCTGGGCCCCTCAGGAAGGAGGTTCAACCCTGGTCATGGACCGGGCATAAAATTTGCACATTAGAGCAGGGTCCATGGAAAGCCTAAAACAACAGTGTGAGTTTCAGGGAGAGGTCTCTCTCGCTTGTGTTGACATGTGTGGTATCACATTGTCACTGGCTCCCAGTTCTAAACTAAAATAAACAGAGTAGATCTTGTCATGGTGTCCAAGATATACACGGTAGGATTTTCATTCACAAAATGTCTGGCTACAAGAGCTAAACGGAAATCCCTTCCGCTGTCCTTCCAAGTCACAGAGCAAACGCCTCAGTTCCCAGCAGTCAGCATTAGTTCTGGAGGAGGCAGTGACTGTGAGTGTGACCAACTGGGCTAATTTGTCCTGAAATTTAGTTGGAACAGCTACAATTTCCTAATTCTATGACCAGAGCGAGAAGCGTTTCACTGAAGATCTACATCTCCAGGAGCAGTCCCGGAAAGGAAGCAGGCACGCTTTCTCCAGGAGAAAGACAGGTAACCCAGGGTGGGGCGGGGTGGGGCGGGGCAGGGCAGGTGTCTCTGTGTGAAGCCAGTGCACACACACTCCTGAAGCAGCCACTCTGCTTCCTTTAGGACATAATGAAGTTCTTGGAGGAGGCCGATGAAGGCAGAATATGGATAAGGTCAAACACAAAGTCCTCCTACATCTTCACATCAAAACACGTTAAACATAAACCTCCAAATGCCTACAGGGATCCAGGCACAGGGCTTCCTAAACAGGCGGGATACACAGCCTTGTTCTATATGAGGGCCCACACGGAAAGTCTTGGGGGAGTCACTGAAGGAAGCAGGGGCAGCAAGGTACATGGAAATGAAACCGGCAGCGGAGCTCGGATGGCAGGGCTGAGGTGCAGAGGGGAGAGTGTGGTTCATACACCTGTGAGGGGCCTGCAAGGCGTGAGGTTCTGTGAGGCTGGTGTGGGCTGGCAGACGTTACCACGGGACAGAATTAGAACGTGCAGCTTGTAAAACAGCAGAGGAAAACTTGATTTATCCAGTGTTAAACAAGAATGTAGGAAAATGAAACAAATGTTAAGTAAATAATATGGTGATTAAGTTACAGACAAGCATTCAATGGATATTTATAGATGAGTAAACTAACTAATGAAAAACAAATTCTGAGCCCCCTGGTGTGGTGGCTCACGCCTGTAATCCCAGCACTTTGGGAGGCCCAGGCGGGTGGATCACGAGATCAAGAGATCGAGACCATCCTGGTCAACATGGTGAAACCCCATTTAGTAGAAACCCGTCTCTACTAAAAATACAAAAAATTGGCTGGGCATCGTGGCACATGCCTGTAATCCCAGCTACTCAGGAGGCTGAGGCAGGAGACTTGCCTGAACCCAGGAGGCGGAGGTTGCAGTGAGCCGAGATCGCGCCATTGCACTCCAGCCTGGGTAACAAGAGTGAAACTCTGTCTCAAAAAAAAAAAAAAAAAGAAAGAAAAACAAATTCTTAGATTGAATTTAAAAAAAAATGAAGATCTAACAATAAAAGATCCACTTTAAACAAAAATTAAAAATTAAAATATAAAATAGAATTAGGCAGAAAATGTCATAAGAGGCAAAGAACTCTGGTTTTATTTTGAGACAGAGTCTCGCTCTGTCACCCAGGCTGGAGTGCTGTGACACGATCTCAGCTTACTGCAACATCTATCTCAAGGGTTCCAGGGATTCTCCTGCCTCAGCCTCCCGAGTAGCTGAGATTACATAATTACAGGTATGCACCACCATGCCCAGCCAGAACTTTTGTATTTTTAGTAAAGATGAGATTTCACCATGTTGGCCAGGCTGGTCTCGAACTCCTGACCTCAGTGATCCTCAGTCTCCTAAAGTGCTAGAATTACAGGCATGAGCCACCATGCCCAGCCAGAACTCTGTATTTTAAAAGGTACAACTTGAGGTGCACAAAAAAGAAAAAAAATAAACAAAAATAAAAGGTACAACTTCCAAACATGTCAAGTAATGACAGAGAGAGCCTCAGGGAAGAGGTAACTAAGAGTAGATGAAGATTTTAAATCACTCATGTTCCTCAAAAACAAACAAATCCACGCAGTCCTGACAAAAACTTTAATCAACAGAACTGGTTGGCTTGAGTTAGGAGGCACAGGAGGTCTAACCTTGCAGACAGACGATGCACTTTCTTTTTGGCAAACACAGACCATGCCTAGAATGCAATCATATCAGGCCACAGAGCAAGGCTCGATTTATTCCAAACATAATGCAATGAAATTCGAAACCAACATCAAAACCCCTCATCCTGCTTCTGCTTCAAAATTGTAAAACCTGCTACTGAATGATCTTGGGTTCAAGATAATCATAAAATGAATTATTTATAACTGAAATGATAAATTTCAGTTTTGTAGGGTACGGCTGAAACATAGCACCTTAACTATGCTTATCAGGGAACACCAACAGTTAAAAAGGTTTGGCCAGTCCAAGTGGCTCACGCCTCTAATCCCGACACTTCGAGAGGTCGAGGCGTTTGAGACCAGCCTGGGTAACATGGCAAGACTCTGTCTCTACAAAAAAAATTGAACATTAGCTGGGCATAGTGGCACATGCCTGTGGTCCCAGCTACTCAGGAGGCAGAAGCAGGAGCACTGATTGAGCCTGGGAGGTTGAGGCTACAGTGAAAGCTGCATTCACGCCACTGTACTCCAGCCTGGGCAACAGAGTGAGGACCTGTTCTGCCAACAAAAAAATTAAAAATAAGGTTTAGATGAGCTAAATCTCCAATGTGAGAAGTTAGAATAGACTCAAGGAAACAAGAAATAAGGAAATCATAATTTACAAGGTTCAGTGAAATAGAAACTTCAAGGAAAAACAGTAGGTCAACAGAACCCGAACGATTGTCTGAAAAAACTGAGATTAACCTTTATCAATATGATCAAGAAAAACAAAGAGGCCGGGTGCGTTGGCTCATGCCTGTAATCCAAGCACTCTGGGAGGCCAAGGTGGGCAGATCCCCGGAGGTCAGGAGTTTGAGATCAGCCTGAGCAACATGCAAAACCCTATATCTATAAAGGATATAAAAATCAGCTGGGTGTGGTGGTGGGTGCCTGTAATCCCAGCTTCTCCGAAGGCTGAGGCAGGAGAATCACCTGAACTCAGGAGGTGGAGGTTACAGTGAGCCGAGATAGGGCCACTATAGCCCCAACTGGGTGACGGAGTGAGACTCCATCTCAAGAAAGAAAACAGTCACGGTGGCTCGGGCCTGTAACCCCAGCCCTGAGCATCCACAGTGACCACCAGGCCCCGTCACCCTGGCTGCAGCTTGAGTATGTCAAAGCCCTGTGAAAACCCTGGAAGCTGTTCACCTCACACACTCTTCTCCTGTCTGGCTTCGTGGATTTCCACCTACACAGGTGGGGCCGGCCCTCAGTCCAGACTCAGGAGAACCCCATTTTCTCCTACACAGGTGGGGCCGGCCCTCAGTCCAGACTCAGGAGAACCCCGTTTTCTCCTACACATGTGCAGCCGGCCCTCAGTCCAGACTCAGGAGAACCCCGTTTTCTCCTACACATGTGCGGCCAGCCCTCAGTCCAGACTCAGGAGAACCCCATTTTCTCCTACACAGGTACGGCCGGCCCTCAGTCCAGACTCATGAGAACCCCGTTTTCTTCTTCTTTTTTTCTTTTATATTTGAAATTTTAAGGTCAGTTTATTAAGTTCGATGTTGAAAGCTATCAGAAGAATATTCTCCTGAAAATAATTTTTTCCTAGAAAAAAAGAAAGGAAAATTAAAACCCTCTGAGCATAGCCACAGATGCTGTGGCAGTCAAGCCTCTCTGCAGATGGGGACAGTCCATTAATTAGCTGAGTCACTCTCTGGGTCAGCAGGATTGTAGTCCGGACCATCTTCATCGTCCTCCAGCTCCAAGTCGTCATTTCTTGGAACAAAAAGACTCATCCACCTCCACATTGTTTCCGGCATCCTCCAAGAACCGGACATCAGATGTGTCAAGATTACGATCTGTTTCAAATAGTTGTTTCCCACTTAATTTATTTTTTTCCTGCTTGTTCTTCTTTCATCCTTTTCTTTTTAATTTCCAAGAGTTCTGCATCAAACTTGGCCTTCCAATTTAAGAAATTCTCAGTTGTAACTGGAGTGCCCTGGGATAACTGCTTTTCAGCTTCTGCTTTTTTTGTTTCTTTTCTTATTCTCTTCTAGTTTTTAATCTGATCTACTATTTCATTTAATTTTTCGTGCACAGCTGTCACTAAAGATCATCACCATACCAAGATTTTCTTCAGCCTGTAATGCTAGTACTTTTAAAATGCCTGAGATATCATTATCTTCTAGATTTTCCTGAGAGAATATTTCATAAAGGGGAGCTTCGTCTGGGTATTTTTCACTGTATGTAAACTTGAGGGTAGTCTGGACAGTTTTATCATTTTCTCCAGCCTCAGATGTCACAGTCATGGTGAAGCTGGGTGGACTTTCTGATAATACTGTGAAGGAGTCAGGGGAGATGGATGCCAGAGCCTCCAGCTCGTTACACTGCTCCTCGCTGTATAATCTGTCATCATGGCCCTTGCTCTTGCCCATGGATTGCCCAGACACCTAGGTGGTGCACAGCTGCCGAGACAGCTGCCGCACTGGGAGAGAGAGAACCCCATTTTCTCCTACACAGGTGCGGCCAGCCCTCAGTCCAGACTCAGGAGAACCCCGTTTTCTCCTACACAGGTGGGGCCGGCCCCTGGTCCAGACTCAGGAGAACCCCGTTTTCTCCTACATAGGTGTGGCGGGCTCTCAGTCCAGACTCAGGAGAACCCCGTTTTCTCCTACACAGGTGTGGTGGGCCCTCAGTCAAGACTCAGAACCCCACTTTCTCCTACACAGGTGTGGCGGGCCCTCAGTCCAGACTCAGGAGAACCCCGTTTTCTCCTACACAGGTGTGGCGGGCCCTCAGTCCAGACTCAGAACCCCATTTTCTCCTACACAGGTGTGGCGGGCCCTCAGTCCAGACTCAGGAGAACCCCGTTTTCTCCTACACAGGTGTGGCGGGCTCTCAATCCAGACTCAGAACCCCATTTTCTCCTACACAGGTGTGGTGGGCCCTCAGTCCAGACTCAGGAGAACCCTGTTTTCTCCTACACAGGTGGGGCCAGCCCTCAGTCCAGACTCAGAACCCCATTTTCTCCTACACAGGTGCGGCCGGCCCTCAGTCCAGACTCAGAACCCCATTTTCTCCTACACAGGTACGGCCGGCCCTCAGTCCAGACTCAGGAGAACCCTGTTTTCTCTTACACAGGTGCAGCCGGCCCTCAGTCCAGACTCAGGAGAACCCTGTTTTCTCTTACACAGGTGCAGCTGGCCCTCAGTCCAGACTTAGGACCCCACGCAGATTTCTGGAGCTCTTTACTGCAGTTTCTCCTCGCTGGATTCTGCCCTGAAATGCTGGCTTCTTCTGTCTCCCCAGGCTCCAGTGCAGTCCCAGCTCAATGAGGGTGCTCTGCTCTGCTCAGCCCCTGCTCCCCCTGCACCAGCAGCCCAGGAACGGCGTCCAGGGCCCCAGGCTCGCCTCGCTGCTCTCCCTTCCCACGAGAGTGGCAGTCTTGTCCGATCAGCTGCCCTACGCCTGCAGACAGTTGTCTCATCTACTCTGTCCAGTTTTCTGGTTGTTTATGGAGGAGCATTAAAGTCTGACCCTTCAAGGTATAAGGGTGGAAATTTAAAAAAAAAAAAGGAAAAGAAAAAAAGAAGAGAAAACAAGAAATGAACAAAAACAAAGAAGTCTGATCCTCACAAGCACAGCCGGCCAGAGATGTGAGTGCAGCCGTTGTGCGGCCCTAGAATGAACACTTTCACAGTAAACCGATCTGGTTATTTCTTAATGTATTTACTTTGTTCTAAAAGTTACTTCAACACAAGTTACTTTCCTAAGTGACAGTCATGGTTTCGTCATTACAATTTCAAGAAAAGAGCAAACAAACATCTACTTGACCACCCGTTTCTCAGAAAGTTCTGAGGCTGCCTGTCCTTCAGAAGCTGCAGGCTGTGACAGTCAGTGAGGGCAGGAGGCTGGGGTCGTCCATGCCATTCAGGACACCCCCATGCTCCCTCCTTGGCCAGAGCACTGGTTTTTGGATTCCTGGAGCTGCAGTGACAAGGTGCTGTGGGGCTGTGCACCCAGCCTCATAAAATGTCACCAGCATGACCTGCTCTCTCAGTCACAGCTTGTCCTGATCACAGCAATGGGGCTAGGATGTTGGGGGCAGGTGTTGAGAAACAAGAGAGGAGGGTTCTTTCCTTCCCAAACAGCAGGACTGTCCTGATCCCACTGCAGGGCTGCTGTGACAGTGGCCAGTGAGACACTGTTTCTTTTGTACACTGAGGGGCTGACTCCATTTCACTGCCCCCTTGCATTCCTGGAGCCCATGTGCTCCTTACCAAGCTCACCTCCTGGTTCCTGTTTGGGTGAAGGGCCCCATGCCAGGCTGGGCTTGGGGCTCACAACTGTCATCTCAGCAGTTTGGAGGCCAAGGTGGCAGGATCATATGAGCCCAGGAGTTCAAGAGCAGCCTGGGTGACAAAGTTAGACCTTGTCTCCACACACACACACACACACACACACACACACACACACACACACACACAAAGTAAAAAGATTAGCCAGGCATGGTGATATGCACCTGTAGTTGAAGCTACTCAGGTGGGCAAGGCAGGAGGATCGCTTGAGCCTGGGAAGTTGAAGACACAGATTGCACCACTGCAATCTGGCTGGGCAAAAGTGAGAATAAAGAAAAGAATGAACAAGAGCCCCAGGGCCACCCCGCCGGCCTGCAGCGTGGTCTTGCAGGAGTCTTGGGCTGTCCATCTCCCTTGGCCACCAGGAGCCCAATGTCCATCTCCTAGTGCAGGTTACCTGGGCCCTGAGTTCTCTTGTCAGTACACGGAGTGAGGCCACAGGTGGAAGAACAGACTGTAACATTCCTGTGTGTTTACAGAGGAGCTGTAGACTGTTCTTCATTGTCCCCCTTGGGTGTGATTTTTGCTTTTTCTTACCGTGTCACAGGGAACTCCTTACCCACTCACGGTGGGGACATCCCAACCTGCTCTCCTGAGCAAAAGCCCTGGGTGTCACAGAAGCAGTGCCTGTGGAGGTGGGGACTGGAGGCAGCATGGGGGCTTTTGGCTGCGGTGTGGGGGGGTGGTGGCGTGAGATGAGCTGGTACTGAGGCCAAATGCTCAGGGCACGTTCACATGTCTTCAGAGCCCAGCTGGTCCTGCAGAGGCCAAGCACACTGAAATGCTATTCTGGAGTTCCACCATTCTTTCAGTAAAGGCCCAGAACAGTCTCAGCTCAAAAGCACAGGATGCCAGGTTGGGGGAGGGGGTGGGTCCTAGGCACCCACTGGCTCTTGAATGCAGAGACTGGCAGCCTCTGCAGAGCCACCGTGACTAGGTGAAGGGCAGCTGGTGCTTGAGTGTCCTGATCCCTTGCTCTGTCTTCTCAGCTACGATGTGTGGGAGTGGAGAAGCACTCACCGGCAGCCACCCCATCCCCAGGTATGGTCCCACTGGAGCCCCCCAAACCTCTAAAATTGTAAACATGACTCAGCTGGAGGGTCAGAAGCCTACCATGATTTGGCCCGCACCTTGTTTGGATTTACTTAGTTGCTGATGTTTACAAAGGAAACGCTTTCTATATAAAAAGAACGGACTTCCAGCCTCCCCAGGAAACATGGGAAAACAGGCATGTTGGCCTCACAGTGCCATGGAGGGCGGCCCTGGGGTGGCATTGATACGGCCTCAAGAGACAAGCCCGCCCGCAGGGCCGCCACGCCCCCACCCCACAAGGCTGGCAGTCACCCTGTGCACAGGCGCCTGGGACCTCTGCAGAGAAGGCTCTGGCCTGGACTGGATCCAGACCCTGACTTGCATTCAGACCCTGACTCCACCAGCTGCAGCTGTGTGGCTTTGCACTTGTCCCACATTCGAGCAAAGAGCCCTAGTCTGTGGCGACCACTGGGGCCTGAGCAGGGCAGTCATATCCGCCCGTGTGATATCCAGTGGAGGCTCTGCCAGCCTTCTGGCTGTCTGGCAAGAGGGGCTGCTGCTTTTGTCCTCTCCCTCTGGATCTTTAGATGAGAAAAGCCTGGCTACAAGGTGTCTCCAACACACAAAACTTCCCAGAAATGCTCTAATTCTATAAACAGTTTTTTTTTTTTTGAGACAGGGTTTCGCTCTTGTTACCCAGGCTGGAATGCAATGGCGCGATCTCGGCTCACCGAAACCTCCGCCTCCCGGATTCAGGCAATTCTCCTGCCTCAGCCTCCTGAGTAGTTGGGACTACAGGCACGCGCTACCATGCCCAGCTAATTTTTTTGTATTTTTTGTAGATACGGGGTTTCACCATGTTGACCAGGGTGGTATCGATCTCTTGACCTCGTGATCCACCCACCTCGGCCTCCCAAAGTGCTGGGATTACAGGCATGAGCCACCGCGCCTGGCCCTATAAACAGTTTTTTAAAAATGGCCAGGTGCAGTGGCTCACGCCTGTAATCCCAGCACTTTGGGAGGCTGAGGTGGGCAGATCATGAGGTCAAGAGATCGAGACCATCCTGGCCAACATGGTGAAACTTCATCCCTACTAAAAATACAAAAATTAGCTGGGCGTGGTGGGCACCTGTAGTCCCAGCTACTCAGGAGGCTGAGGCAGGAGAATTGCTTGAACCTGGGAGGCAGAGGTTGCGGTGAGCCGAGATCGCGCCACTACACTCCAGCCTGGCGCCTGGCAGCGGAACGAGACTGTCTCAAAAAACAACAACGACAATAACAACAAGAACACCTGTAATCCCAGCACTTTGGGAGGCAGAGGCGGGTGGATCATGAGGTCAGGAGATCGAGACCATCCTAGCTAACTTGGTGAAACCCCGTCTCCACTAAAAATACAAAACATTAGCTGGGCATGGTGGCGCATGCCTGTAGTCCCAGCTACTCGGGAAGCTGAACCAGGTGAATCACTTTGACCCGGGAAGTGGAGGCTGCAGTGAGCCAAGACTGCGCCACTGCACTTCAGCCTGGATGACAGGGCAGACTCCATCACAAACAAAACAAAACAAAACGAAAACTGAGTCAGCAGTTAATAGGATTATTAAACCTTAATATACATTTTTCCCTCTTTTTTTTATGAATATGGAATGCTTCACGAATTTGCGTGTCATCCTCGCGCAGGGGCCATGCTCATCTTCTCTGTATCGTTCCAATTTTAGTATATGTGCTGCCACAGCGATCACTTTTTTTTTTTAAGACGGGGTTTCACCATGTTGGTCAGGCTGGTCTTGAACTCCCAACCTCAGGTGATCCGCCCACCTTGGCCTCCAAAGTGCTTGGATTACAGGTGTGAGCCACCACGCCCGGCTTAATATACATTTTCTGGACCAGGCATGGTGGCTCATTCCTGTAAGTAATCCAGCACTTAGCGAAACTGACATGGGAGGACTGCTTGAACCCAGGAGTTCAGACTATCTTGGGCAACATAGTAACACCCTGTCCCTAAAAAAAACACATTTTTTTAAATCAGCTGGGCATCGTGGCTTACACTTCTGGTCCCAGCTACCCAGGAGGCTGAGGCAGGAGGATCACTTGAACTTGGGAGGTGGAGGCTGCGGTGAGCTGAGATCACAATACTGCACTCCAGCCTAGGCGACAGAGGGAGACTCTGTCTCAAAATATATATATATTGGCCGGGCGTAGTGGCTCACACCTGTAATCCAAGCACTTTGGAGGCCAAGGCAGGTGGATCACCTGAGGTCAGGAGTTCAAGACCAGCCTGACCAACATGGTGAAACCCCATCTTAAAATATATATATATATATATATATATATATATATATATATATATATATATAAGTTTCTCCACAGATTTTGAGATTTTTTTTTTTTTTTAAAAAAAGAAAACATCTCAAAATCTGTGGAGAAACTAATATAATTTTCAAAAGAACAAATATTTTAAAGAAAAAGAGCCAGCATTAACACGGGGCCCCTTTAAAGTTGTGACCCTTTTTGCCCCTAAATCATCCTCTGCCGCTTGAGGGTGGGACAGGGAATGAGGGTGGGAGGGAGAGGAGCCTCCACCCAGAACAAAATTACTCACCCCCTACCTACCCAGAGGGTGCATGGCAGGGAGTGCCTCTCCCACCCCCAGGGAGCAGTCCAGGGGCTGTCACTGTCAATGCTAGCTCAGGGCCCACTCTTGGTGAGGCCCCACGTGGCAGCCCCACCCCATTCTCCTGTGCAGTCTTCCCCACCCCCACAGGCACAGCTGCATTCCTCAGAAGCTCCCGCCTGGCATTGTCCTCTGACCCCGGGATGACTGTAGCCCTCCCCCGCTCTGATCAGAGGAGTCCCTTCCAGAACTCCAATGTGTAGAGTGAGGGTTGGGCCTTGGGACCCTCAGTAAGGGCTCTGTGGCCGTGTGGCCCTGGGCCTCAGTTTCTGCATTCTGTAGTAGCTGTACAGCCTTGGCCTAAACACCCGAGCACAGGTGAAACACCAGGTATAGTGTCTGGCACTGGTTAAGCACTCAACAAAGATTCCAGGAAAATAAACAGAACCATCCGGATTGCATGCATCTGTAAAACAGGCTACAGCTCTACCTCTGGTCTCTGCTTGCGGTCCCCCCCAGAGCTGGGCCCTCTCCAAA